CGAACCCGTGTCCCCTGCATCGGCAGGCGGACTCTCAACCACTGCGCCACCAGGGAAGCCCCTAGATTAGTATTTTTATAAGCTTGTGATGGCACAGATCTTTCTATGCATAAAACAAATAATAAAGAAAATGATTGATATAGTTGGCTAATAAAAATTTTAACCTTCTGTACATCCCAAACCACTAGAACCAAAATTAAGAAAATAGCAACAACAACAATGAGAAAAAATATTTGCAATAGAAATGATATTAAGGGGGTCAATGTCCCCATTATCTAATCATTATGGGGGGAAAACTTTTTAAAAATTCAAAAATGAGCAAATGCCATTAATATACAATTCACAAAATAATACAATTGTTGAGATTCAGCATGATTATCATTTTTTTCTTTTTGTTTATAGTATTTTCTGAGCTTTCTATCCCCCCCAAAATGTATTATTCCTGTAGAAAAAAAAAAATCTCAAAATAGGAACCAGGAAAAAAATTTTCTCTTTTTCAGGAAACCTAAGCTTCCTGCCAGAGGACAGTAAAGCTCCTTTAACAGCTCCAAACTCTCTCAGAATGAGTAGATATGCAAGGTTACAAACAACCTCCTACCGTGGGCAAAAAATATACATTTTTCATCTCCTCGAATCCTCCAAAAATCTCAGGTAGGGTGTTGTTACTACCCTAATATTACAGACAAGAAAGTGAAGACTCAGAGAAGTTCAGCAGCCACACCCTTTTGCTTCCTAAGCTTCCTAAGCTTCCTAAAGTCACACAGCAGTAAGCAATAGAGTTGGAACTGGATCCCAGGCTGGTCTGACCACAAACTCAGCTCTTTTCAGGCCTTGTTTCAGGACCCTTGGGTTGGGATGCAGAGGGATGAGTTCTGATCCTGGCTCTGTCCCCAACCACCAGTACACACAGCCTTGGCAAGTCTCTTCCCCTGTCTGACCCTGATTTCCTCATCTGTTCAAGGGGAAGTGGATTGGCCCAAATGGTGTGTCAAGTTCCTTCCTGCTCGGACATGCGAGATTTTTGTTCTCATAAAGCACTCATTAGCCAAGGACCGGTCCAAACCAGAGATCAACCCCAGGGGCCTGGGGACTGGAACAGGTGGACTCACACAGATGCCCAGGCACTGGCCCACCTTGAATTCCTCATGGATGCGCTCCTCCAGGATTTTGGCAGCCTTGCGGTCCTCCGTCTCCACTTTCCACTTCTCCACCAGGATCCGGGCTTTCTCATTGGCCAGAGCATCCCGGAACTTCTTGGTGATCTCTGCCTCCTTCTGTCTCCTTCCAAGAGAACACCAGCAGGTATCAGGAGGTATGGGAAACTGAAGGACCACATGCCAACAGAGCTTCAAATAAAAACCACGCGCAATCATTCTTGGTCTGTCAGAACGGCAAATATCTGAGGTTCACAAAACTCAATGTTAGCAAAGGTGGGGAGTATAAGTCACCAGAATTGCTCTGGAAGCCAGGAGATAAAACCTCAGAAACCCCATTTCTCACTCAAGTTTACAAAGGTGTAGGGA